GCTGTTGAGAGAGCTTTCATAATTTTGAGTCAGAAGATGGCTGCTCACAACCTACACAGTTCTTTTTCTGTCTCCTCAGGGGAATTTACTTTAGAAACTGTTTCTCACAGTTGGTTTGCAGTCTTTGCTGATTATTTCCTTTCTGCTGTCTGAGCAAGGGTAAGATTTCAGAGCGCTTGAGTGAATTCACCACCTGAAAAGAGGCTTGAGCTGGCAGTAGTTGCCTCAGATGAAAGGGAAGTATGAGAAAAAAGCAGAAAGGGTGATAAAACCTCAGCAGCAATTGCCTTCATTAACTGTCCATGGGAACTAGTACAGCCTTGGGTTGTCCTGCAGGGATATTCACTTATGTCCATGGCATTGCAGGGTAGAAGGCCCTTTGTTCTATAGAGGAAAAGAGTTTGTGATATGAAATTGGGCAATTTCTGTGCCAAAATGCCCTGCTATTTACACTGGTACTGACAGCTGCATTTTGGCCTGTTAACTGCAAGGAGATTACAGCAATTGCCTTGTTCCAGCTCTTTCCTATGCCATTTCTGCATCCAGGAAAATTCCACCTGAATTTTATGAGTGTTCTCCATCACTCAGAGAGAATCTTAGAGAGTCACGGTGCAGATTCCAGATTTTTGCTCAGCAGTATAAAAAGACAAAACCAACACAGGAAGTATCTACGCTTCAAAGATGAATTGGCCAAACACGTCTCTGCCATTTGTTTGTTCTGAAGGCTCAAAACTTAGGCTGAATGGTATTTGCATATTTTCTGACCCTAAACCCAGTTGATCTACAAGTATAAAACAAAATCAACCAAAGAGTTACTTGCAGGACACCTTGCTTTATAGATTGCTTCCAGAATAAGAAAACATTTCTTCCAAGGGAGACAGATGGTCTGATTCTCCCTTCACTGGTCTTCCCTTCCTCTATCCCTTCCTCTAGCTATGATAAATATTTGCAAGGTAGCTCAGCATTTTAGGGGGTAGTGAGGTGGTTTTTTTGGCCATGTCCCTCATTTCTGAACAATGAAAATTAAATATAGGTCAAATGCAAGCCTTTTTTACAAGATAAATATACAAAAATTGACTCATACATGCCGAAAAATCTAGAACAGAGCAGCCCATAAATTTCTTTCATTTTAGAATTCAACATTAAAATCATTAAGCAGAAGGAGAAAATACTAATGGAGAGGTCCTAAACAGTCTGATTTGTCAGTCCAGAGGTGGCTACTGCCCTGGTCTGTTTGTAGTGAGAGGGGAGGTTGCAGCAGAACCATGTTTGTGAGATGAGCACTGCAGTGGTTGGAGCTTGGGGCGAAGCCCTTGTGTCTCTCCTTGAGCTTGCATTGGGCACAAGCCCTTAAAACACTGGCAAAACCATCATGGGAGATGGAGATTGAGAGGAGATTTTCAGAGATTGGGAGAAGGAAGGAATGAGAAGCTGGGGCAGCAGCAATTGGTAGAAAAGGACAGAGAGAAATCAGTGGTTGCGAGAGGAGATTTTCAGAGATTGGTAGAAGGAAGGAATGAGAAGTGAAGCTGGGGCAGCAGCAATTGGTAGAAGAAATGGACAGAGAGAAATCAGTGGTAGATCTCTGGGCAGAAAGTCACCAGTTTGCCAGGCAGAAGAATACCAGAGGAAAGAGGGGAATGGGGCCCTGCAGGGGTGCAGAACGGGACTGGAAAGCATTTGTCATCTTTCAGCGAGTCTTTCAACAATTTTCCACTCCACTGTGATTAATTTTGCTGTTAGTCTGGGCTGGTTTGTGTGTGGTGAATGTAAATGAGACCAGTAGGTTGTTAAGGTCTGTACCAAATGCAAAACTGAATGTCTGGTTCATGACAAGCAACTGCTCTGGCTTGTGCTTGTGCAACTGATGCTGTTTTACACAGTCAGGCATGGGGATCATGATCCTGCCAATGTTTACAACTGTAGCATCTTAATGTGTGCTCCTAAATTCCTTTGAGCATACATAATTATGTGTTCAGACACTTGGCTCTGCATTCTACAAGAAACTCATTGAAACATTAAAATAATATAAGCAGTTAACATCAGCTTGCTAGGAGCACTCCAAAATAGAGCAGTATCCTTAGAAAAAGTGCCATAACAAGACTTGAACATTTTTTTGTTTGTTCAAAAATACCTTGTATTTCACAGGCAGTTTTTTCACCGGCTTTTGGTTTGGTTTTTTTTTCCATTTCTAATTTGGTTTAACCCACCATCTGAGAACTGAAAGGCAGAAAATCCCTACCCAGCAGGGAAAGTCTTACAAGACTTTGAAGAGGAAGACCTATTTTGCAGATGGATTGGTTTCCTACCATTATGGTGATCAGGCACAGTAGCACTTTATTTTGTAGCCTGAAACTTAGGAAAACTTGGATTTCATTTGCCCATATTTACATTTGGCAAGTAGGGAGCAGAGAAGCAACTGGGGGAATGAGAGATGAGACTCACTCATATCAAGTTCTTGCTTGAATACATATCTGAGCATGGCCCAGTTCCAGGTCCTCTCCAAAGCCCCCTTCCAGTTTCCAAAGAAAAGCTGAGGGCAGTGGGAGCAAGAGCTGCCAGCACTCCAGAGGGTCACAGCCTTTAAATGTAAGGGTAACTACAGTGGATTGGAGTGTGAGGATATTGAGGAATTAACCAACTGCTTATTTCAGATGACTACCTAGGGAAAGGTAGACAAAATATTGCATAAGAAGGGAAGGAAACATTCTGGGCTGAGGCCATAAGTGACCTTTGAATTTAACTCCTAATTGCTTCCATTAGTTGAAACAGTTATTTTAATAATCCAACAGCTGGCTTTTCTTGCCCTCAACAGAACATTTGTCATTTAAACAGGTAAATTTTTGGTACTGAAGCAGAGATCAGACTTCAGTACACTTCATAATACACAGAAGGAGGAATTTTTCAGCCAGAGGCCCAGCCAATAGCAATGGTCAGATTGCAAGCAGTGACATTTGGACACAGAAGTGAATGTCCTTGAAGCCCTCCTGTAGCCCACTGCCCTTAGGACTCAAACTATTTTGTTTCTTATGTTTGTATTTCATTGCTATCCATTTCAGTCTTGTATCCTAGATTTAAGAAAATATTCATATTCAGGCCATAACTGATTGTGCATGGCTTGCTATTTTAGCAGGATTTAATACAACTAACTTTTGAAAAAAACTGAGCAACTCTGACTTATTCTTTCATATGTTTTAGGAAGACAATGATTTATTAATAAACACAGTATTACTATTTCTGAGTTCAAGGTGACAAGCCCTGGTACAAGTGTGCAGCTGGTCAGGGAATGTCACTGCAACTGACTGAATAAGGAAAGATTCCTGATATTTTAAGAACAAACCTGTCAATGTATAGAAAATTAATGGTGAATTAAAATGCACCTCTCCAAGACTCTTCTTATGATAAATATGCTGTCTCCATGTGACCCCTTGCAATTCCTCTTTGCCCACTATATAAGATTATAAAAGCCTGATCACATTTCCATTAAAATCAAGGGCAAATATTTCAGTGCTCTTTGCACAGGATGAGACCCTTATTATATTTTAGTAGCAATATTTACTCCACAGAAGAAGTTTCTTTGGATATACTTGTGCTCTGTTATGATTTAATAGATGTGCTTCAGACAGAATTATGTGGATTTGAATATAGCTCTTCTAAGGGAAAGAACTCGAAAATTCCCCACCAAGAGTTGATCTTTGCCAACATTTGTTGTTAACTGATATTAATAAATAGGAACTGGTAGGCTGTCTTCCTTAAGTAGCATTCAGAGCCTGAATAGCATTTTAAAATGCTGTAAAGGGAGAACACACACCCTGTCTAGCAAGCTGAGGTGTAAAATATGCTATATGCAACCAGATGGCTGCACAAAGCTGACTGAAATTGCAGAAGGAGACCACAGCTTTCTTCTGTGGCTGCAAGAACCTGCCAGAAAGGTCTTGGGCTGTGCAGGAGCTACTGCAGGGCTTGGCTGTGGAGTTTAAAAGTCACAAAGCAGACAACTGGGATGAATGGAAGACATGGTATACTAAACTGTGGCTTTTTCAAGGGTTTTTGCACTTGCTTTTTCATATTTTTTTCCTATGCTGCTGGCTTTAGTACCTTTTTTTCCTCTCTTGCCAGTATTACAAGTTTTGGTTCCCTTTTTTTGTTTGTTTTTAAGAACCTGCTACCTGTAATGTGCACACAGAGGCACTGTGCTGTGTATTGGAGTCTTGTACACATCAGAAACTTCACCCACAGCCATTCCATAACTGAGAGTGAAGTGACCATTGCTTTCTCAAAGCCTGTTTCACCTCAAAGAGGAACAGCTGAGCAATGGGGCCAAAGGCACTGTTTGCATCTAAGAGTGCTTCAGAAAGCACCCATTCAACCATTCAGCAACAGCTTTTCTCAGCCCTGAACACCAGAAATGGCAGTCTTGGAAACACAGAACTTCTTGTATGCACATGAGCCTGAAGATGTGAAAGTGAGGGTGTCCAAAGCAGCAGTGACTCACACACCAGGTGTGGGACTTGAATCTGTCCTTGTCTCCCCTCTGCAGCTGGGCTGCTTCTCAGAAGCCCAGGTGTTTCCTTTTCAGTTCTTCACTTTCCTGAGGAGAAGCAGCCTCTTTTCAGCTGCACGTGTTCTCTCTCGCAGAGGATGTTTAAGGCTTATGTTGGAGGCCTGGAAGGTGTTGGTGTACAAAGGAGTTTTCCTCTTGCAAGGAATAACTTTGCCAGCCACCCTTTTCCAGCTCCCCTTGTTCCAGGGACTGCTGCAGCCAGGACAAGCTGCCTACTAAGAGCAAGCATTATGCTAGAATGCTTTATTGTTTAATAGCACTAAGCTTTATGGGTATGAATTGGCTCTCAAAAGCAAATGACAGCTTCCACTCTTCAGCAGTCATGGCAAATAATAAGAGGATAAAGGCAGTTAATTGAGGGGAAATCCCCTCACACTGACAAAGAAAACAGATTTCTACTAAAGAGACAGCACATGGAGGGCAATGAAAACTTCCCTAAGGTAAAACTTGACTCTTTATTCTACCACAGAGCCAAAATCATTCCCAAGAAGCAAAGGGACCTGCATTAGTGTAGCTCAAATTCAGAAGCTGGGCTGTCCTTCCCAGACTCCACACAGAAAAACAGATTCAGTCTTTAGACCTTGCTTTTAATGACTCCCACTTGCTTCAGAGTTAGAAATTTTCTTTGTTAAAAATGAAGTGTACTCCTCGTGGATCAGCTTCTGAGTTGCTGATGCTCTGCTTGTTGAGTGTGTCAGCCAAGCCCTCAGGGCCACAGAGAAAAACACCTATTCGGGAGCTGTTAAGAAAATGAAAATATGGTCAGGAACTAGGTATGGAGCAGCTGGGTATTCTCCATGTAAATCATTTTTATGTTCTATAGATGCAAGGTTTTTTCCCAGTTACAGGAATTAAAGTAGAACTGGATGTCTATCCTGTCTGCTTGTAAAACAAATGCTGGGCTAAATCTCAGCTCAGCCTTAGTCAGTGAAGACAGGTTTATTGACCTCACTGAATCAAAGAAATAGAGATTCAAAGAGCTTATGGCACAAATTCTTGAGAGGAGTTTTCTGGTTTTTCCCTGCAAATTTTGGGTGGCTAGCTAAAGATTATCCATATTCAGGTTTGGTTTCTAGAGGTAGAAAGTGGTTTTGGAGGTCTTTAGACATCACCTAATATTCCTATTTATTTCAGCTAGAAGAATAGGTTCATTTTTTCCTAAATCTTCTGCTAGTAATTAGACAGTCCAAGAAATATCTTGTGGAAAAGGAATGATTTTTTAAAAAATTGTAGGTCAAAATAATTTGTTCAAGATCATAGATCATGTCCACGGCTGAAAAAAGAAAATACCTGGAGATAGGTAGGGGGGAAAAAAATACTCCTCAAACTTTATCAGCCAAAGGAACAAGATTGTGCTGTATGGTGTGTATGGCCATTAAATAGAGGAAGTCCACAGACACTATAAATTTGAAAAGGTTTACCCAGGATGCTTCCCTGCAATAGTTTTGAACTCATTTTCCCAGTTAGGTCTTCCATACAAGGTTTTCTGTTTCAGTCCTGTAATCACATCTTTCTCTTCTTCATGATGCACTACAAAGTGAGTGGCCTGTGGGAAATGAAAGACAAGGGACAGATAAATACAGCAGCATTGTGTTCTGGTTAAAAAATAATAATGTCAATACTGACTGAATTATTTCCCTAACGAGATGATGGAATTTATGGTGTTTTGCAAGGAAAGCTAAAACTGATAAAATCCTGGCTATCAGTGTCTACCCCTTCCTTCTCACCAGACTGGGTGATCTCAAGAGTTAAAGCTAGGAAACACTGAACACAGAAATTAATTGCAGGGTTTTTTCAATTAACAGATTTAGTCTAAGAACTCTAACATAGAGTTAATTACAAAATCCTTTCCCTTCAAATAAAATAGCATGACTCCCTTGACCATAATGAAATCCTGCCAGTTTGTTCTCTGGAATGTTTGATCCACATGATCTTGCTTGTGTAACTTCCATCTAGACCAGCTAAGTCAAGAAAAGCAAGGAAGAGAAGATATGGTTAAAGGCATAAGTTCAGGCCTTACAGAGTTCTGTAGCCCTTCTACATGAGACAAAAAAAGCTCCAGGTAACTTTATCTCCAAGGGAAAAAATGTGGGACTTTTCTTCTTTCCTTTTTCTTTTCTTGATGTTGCTTGCATATGTGATAAATTCCTTGCTGCTCCCCCTCCCTGTCTATCTAGCTGAGCTTTGGGCACATGGGGCATTTTGCAATGGTGAGATGAATGTAATATAAAACATCACTAAAAGTAACAGAGTGAGAGCCTTTCCTGACTCAATCCCACATTCTCAAGCCTCTGCTCCTTTGCATTCCCACAGCAACCTACCAGCACAGGACCACAGAGCTCATGAGTCCTGAAACAAATATGCTGCTGTGGTTCAAGCATTGTGCATAGGCTTCCCTGCTTCCTAAAGCTCTTAATTACATTCTTTAGGCAGCTTCAGCTGTTTTAGAGACTCATACATGGTCAGCTGAGGTTCCTCCTGTGAACAAAGCCTGCTTGCCACAGAGCACAGCCAGAGGAAACCAGAAAGGAAATCAGTGCACATGAACAGCTGATGCCATGTAAATTCTGATGGATAACACCTGCCTGCATTCAAAACCTCTGGAAGCCAGATGGATGCCCAAAATAAAAGACCACTTGCATAGTTATGAGAACAAATTTTCTAGCATTAACCTCAGTTTTATGGCAGTGATATCCCCCAGTGTGTGGTTACCTGAGTTTCATCCCAGCCTGTAAGGTAGATGTTATAGCTCAGAAACTCTGCATTGTTCCTCTCCTGCATTTGAGCCTCCAGAGATTGCAAGAGGTCAGCAAACCATTCAAAGGCATGAGTGTCCCTGCAAAGCCAGTAAAAATAAATCTGGAAGAGACAAGAATGAGCTGTCAGGGGATACAGGCCCTTATGTTTTCCAGGTTTATGTCTGCTGACAGAATTAGGATTATAGAGTTCTGGTAAAAAATGCTCTGAACACTTCAGTAGATGGTTAGGATGGTATTAAAGCTATTCAGGAATTTTGATGCTGAGAGGGTTATAAAGCTGAATGACTGACTGCAAGAACAAGGAAATATCTTCTTGTTTTTCTTCCACATTTTTAGTTTGCAATGTTTCCCTACTTACCTCCTTGTAAAACAGTTTGTTAGGACATAAATAAATGATTTAGCGGCGAACTCTCTTTCTGTGTGCTGGCAGGCAAGGTAAAGTAGGCAAAAAAACCAGTTCTGTTCTCTGAATATGACCATAACTGCAAAGTGTGACCCCTCTAGAAACACAGGGAATTTCCAGGGGCAGGAGGGGAGAGGAGGATGCTTCCATTGCTCTTCTACTTATGAAAAGCCTTTCTCTTTGTGCTGGGGGAAGGAATGTAATATTTGCCCAGCCTGTATTAGTGCCTTGAACTTTGTGTTTCTCAAGTAGATGAACACCATTTCCACAGCAACTGGAAATCCCCAGGGCCACAGTCAGGACTAGCATGTGTGATTTGGCTTGTTGGCTATTTGTCCTTTCATTATATTTTAGATCCTCCTGTTTTCCTCCTGCTATCTTGAGAGGCAACAGGACTCTTCCTTCTTTTAGGACTCATGCATGCCTGGAGCCAGATCACCTTTGCTGTGCCTGCTTTGATTTGGGCACTTGGCCCTTGACCAGTTACAGGGGTCTGGGAAAGAGGACACAATACCTTCTTGAGCTTTAGGTTGGTGGCATCATGGCAGTATTTGTACCAGACAGACTTGAGGACAGATGCAAAGGGGGTGACCCCTATTCCAGCTCCAACCAGCATCACAGTTTCATAACTGAACACATCCTCACTCGCTGTTCCAAAGGGGCCATCCACAGCTATCCTGGAGTTGAAAGTATGCTTATTAAATCAGCAGTGAATATTTCTTAACACCATTTAAAATGACAGTTAAAACATATTTGTCTGCTACAATGCATATTTGGACTGAATATTAGTCAGCAAAAGGAGACGTGGAGTTGATAGAAAAACCTGTAAAGAGGCACCAAAGACCCAGATCTGTGTCACCATTTAATGTTTGTATCACTGGTGCCATCAAATTGCTTGAGCAATATTTAAACTGCCATAGGTGTTTTTTGACTTTACCACGGAGATTCTTTGTACATACTTGGGCAACTTCCATGCCTCCTGGAATTCTTGTTTATCACAGCCACAGGCATTGAACAAGCCCTCTGTCCAGTCTCCCACAATACGGACGTGAATGCTGAAGTAATCCTCTTCTGGAGCAGAAGTCAGTGTAAATGGATGCCATTCCAGTTTAGATACTGCTGGACATTTGACAAAAATGTATTGTCCAACCTCCATCTTGAAGCCTTTTTTCATCATCTGGAGCTCAATTGTCTTGAAGGGATGAATGACCACCTACAGTGAGAAGGGCAATGGGAAAAATAAGGAAAATAAAATGTCTGTCTTCACTGATGTATCTTACTGACATATTTACATCCACCATCACTGGCATTATTCTCTGCTGTGAGAGTAAGGAAAGCAGGTGAAACTTTCTTCCCAGCAGAGCTGAGAGTGAGCAACAGCACCTGACAGCAGATGAAAGCCTGCAGAGGATGCTGATGTTTTGGTTGAAGTATTTTCTCACACCACACTTGCAGTCACTCCAAAGGGCACAGGCCAGGCTGGCACATCTTGTAACACATCACCAGTTCTGTGTGTGCACATTGTTAATTCCAGATGGTCCTTTCCCAGTAGCACAGGGCACAGAGTTAATGGGTCTGACTGTATATATAGGGGAAAAAACACAGGGCTGTCCTACAGATATTGGATAGGTAGTACCTCAGGAAATGGATATTTTCTTGTTTTAGTTGGGTAGGACCTTGGCTATTCTTTAGAAACAATTTTCTAGAACTAAAACCAGTAATTCTGTCACTCTAATTTTTAATCCAAAAGTTGTCTGCCAAAGTTATTTTCATTTTTCAAAAGAGATTTGCAAGAGGGCAAATCAAGTCTCTCTGTGTGTTAATTTAGGTATTAACTGTGGTGTTCAGGATTGTGAAGGAAATTTTCTGCCACCAGGACACAAAAGAGACACTATAGAAATATAGTGTACAAATGGCCCACAGGATATTTTGGTAAAATTATCAAAATATTTAAGAGCCTTCCAACGTGTCAGCATCATTATAGAGCATGGTAAAAACACCTAATGTCATCCCCAAACCCTGCTATGATTTGAACAGGGTGTGTCCTCAGGATGCAGCACTGTGCCATGTGAGGAGATTACACTGGGAAAGGCCAGGATAGTTTTCATAAGTTTGAGCTTAGTTCTGTGCTAATTCAGCTATCAGAATTTCAGGATCAGTGTTAATATCTCTGCAACAAACCATGGGAATGGAAGTTCAACATTAGATTTGGATACATAAATAAACATGCTCTTAACTTGTTTTCAGGGGTCATTTGTTCTGTGTCTTAAATTAGCCTCAAGTCTGTGGAATTTCTATACTGTGATTTTTCTTTCACCCAATACAAAGAAATGGATACATAAATAAACATGCTCTTAACTTGTTTTCAGGGGTCATTTGTTCTGCCTCAAATTAGTCTCAAGTCTATGGAATTTCTGTACTGTGAATTTTTTTCATCCAATACAAAGAAACTTCATTTATTTCCTAAGATTCATTCCTGTGCCTTAGCTAACTTCCTCCTCTTGCTCACTTTTAGAGGTTACATTTGAATGTTGGATGTTGGCATCATGACAGCGGTCAGAACATTCCTCCCACTGATAACTTGGGTATGTAGGAGCCTCTGCCTTTTCTGCACCATTTGGAGAAGAGGGTGATGCTTTGCCTGGTGTTAAGTGCAGCATCAGCACTTACCTTTGTGATAACAACCTTCTGCTGAGACCTCCAAAACCGCACCAGCCGCTCACACAGGTACAGAAACATGGGACCTACCACCCACTTCCATGTCTGTGAGCAGAAGAAAACAAGTCAGATGACGAAAATCACAGAATCATAGAAAGGTTTGGGTTGGAAGAGATCTTAGAGATCATCTAGCTCCATCCCCACCCCTGCTGTGGACAGGGACACCGTCCACTAGATGAGATGGCAACTTAGATCAAATCAAATCCTGGAAATTCTATAAGCAGAGGTGAAGTTCAAGTAATCTGTGTTCTTTATTAACCAGATTAGGGAATCCTTAAGATATATGACAGCTTCAAAATTCTGGTCAGAGGGGGAATTTCTTTCTCTGTTGACTGTTGCAGCTGGCTTTTTAGTTTCTACTAGAGTTACAGCAAGGTATTTTCCTGCAAGTAATTTTGTCTCTGTTTAAAAAAGAATGTAACAAAGTGAAATGTGGTATTAAGGTATTTTTGACTCAGGTCTGTATTACTACAGGAAAAGATGTGGTGTCTGTTAACAGATCATTCTGAAATGTGAAAGAAAAAACAGCCTGGTTAGTCAATAAAAGCTGAAGTTTCAAAATCACATTTCCGGGGGTGTTATTTTCCTGCTAACAATCATTAGTCCATTAATAATGTTAAAACTATTTATTGTAAGTATTATAGCACTTTCTAGATATCGCCAGCAGCCATTACTTTGCAGTTTACTTTTTGGATAAAAAGTTCTCAGATACCAATTTCTCTTTTGTCTGTCAACTGTGCTTATTTTACAGCATACTGGAAGTGTGTAGTTTGTCTGGAGTCCATTTCTGTTTACAATCCACCGTGCCCAAATCTCTTGCTTCATGCAAAGAAAGTTGCCACTGAAGAGTGCTGAGGGTTATATGGTTGGTCTTCTATGCAATTTAAGAAAAAAAGAAAACTGTAAGCATTTCCAATTGGATTTACACAGAAGGGAGCTGTTCTTACCATAGGAGGATTCCCTGAAAACTGAGGGATTGGACAAGCCTCAGTCTTGCCCCAGTGAGTGAAGTTCTTGTAGCAAATCTCTGGGTTGTGTTCAGCCAGGCTTTCAGCTGTCTGTCCCCGCACAATACGACTGGGAAAAAAGTAAAGATGGTGAAGGCAATGAAATGAAAATGAAAGTATCTGTTCCTTATTGTTCTATTTATGTACTACTATATTTATGTGGAGTTGTCAATTTCTGCACTGCAACAGCTTTGGTACAGATTTACTGCTCTAATCTAACCATAAAGTTACCATTAAAGAAATAAAAATGGAGGGGGGGGAAGTTTGTGGGATAAAATCCTTATTTCAAGATTAGGTGAGGAACTGACAGTTATGCCCATTACCACTTCCAGGATGTGATCACAATTAGAGAGCTACATTCTTTTCTGAGTTATCCTACATTTTTTCCTCAATAAAAAACAAAAAACAAAACAAAACAACAAAAAAGCCCCAAAAAACAAAAACCCAACAACAACAACAAAAAAACACCTTACCAAAAAAAAAAAAACAAACCACAACCAAACAACAACAACAAAAACACACACAAAAAAACCAACAAAAAAACACAACCCAAAACCCAAAAGCTGGAATGGATAGGTAATCAATTTGCTACTGACCACTACAAAGATTATTTCTGCTGTTTATTTTAGAAATTTGGAGATCCCTTTCCAACACACATTCTTCCTTTGGCCCTTCCTCTCCCTCTAATGCTGTGGAGCAGCTGTTCAGGTGCAATGAATGAATATAGATGCCTTTGAGACAAGCAGCTATTGCAGCTATAGCAGCTTGCATCAGCCAATTATCTGGCCTCAATATTCTTGCTTGGTTGGTTTTTTGTTTATTTGCTTGTTGTTTTTTTAGTATAAAGTATATATACTAACCCAGTACAGCTGTATTTCCAGTAGCAGAAGTGGTGCAGAGAGGTAATTTCAGTTTCAAGGCGCAAAAACCTACTCTTTCTCACTATTTCCTGCCTCTGTCTGGAGTTCTGCCAACCTCAGGATCTTAGTAAAAAAATTCAGATTAAGATCTGTTGAATGTTCCCTAGAAACAGTCTGCTTCTGATCAGGCTGGTCAGTTTTATGCCAGTGTGATTCTTTGATATCTTCTCCCTAGGACTTCTCTTTCTGCTTTTCTAGTTCTATGTCTGTGAACTAGACAACATTTCTGATATTTCAAAAAAACCCATGGTACCTAAGCCATATGCATGCCTAACTTTGTGTGACAGATTTTTCAGAGGATTGTTACAAAACCTCTGCACAGGGTTGAGAGATATTGCTCATAAATATTACTAATAAACCTCTTCTTCATTAAATGTTTGATTAACATCCTGTCTGAAAAATAAAGGGAAGCAGTGACAGTGTCCCAGCAGCATCACGAGTTGCAATTTGCAAGAACATCAGCAGTTACACTTCACTTCCCCACTAATGACAAGGGGTTCAGCTGAGCCACCTCTGGGATGAGTTACAGGAACAGGAGGAACCCATTTCCCCCACTGCCCACCCCATTGCTTAAGGGAAAGGGGGCCTGGAAGTTTTTGCATTGTTCTATGCTCTTTCAAGGTTTAACAATGTCAGTACCCCGTACAAGAGAAAAAAAACCACCTTATTTCCCCTTATCAGACAATGTAGATGTTCTTTCTAGTGCTGTAATTCAGCTTGCAGCAGTATAGCCTTGTAATTACTTCTTTTTTGGCTAAATGTTTTCCTTTAACTCCAAAAGAGTGAACTGCACCTCTGTACCCTCTCCCCTTTACATTTACTGTGTTGGGAAATTTGGGACATTTGTCTGTGACACTGAGCTCATGCACAGAAACATCAGTGCTTCAAAAGTGCTGTAACAGCTTGTAACAGACAAGAATTATTGTAGAGTCGGAGAATTAAATCACACAATGGCTTGGGTTGGAAGGGACCTTAAAGATCATCCAGCTCCAATTCCCCTGCCATGGGCAGGGACAACTTTCACTGGACCAGGTTGCTCAGAGTCCAGTCCAGCCTGGCCTTGAACAATTCCAGGGATGGGGCAGCCACAGCTTCTCTGGACAACCTGCGCCAGTGCCTCAGCACCCTCACAGTAAAGAATTTCTTTCTAATATCTGATCTAAACCTACTCTCAGTTTCAAGCCATTCCCCCTCATCTGTCACTGTAAATAGTCTCCATCTTTCTTGCACCTGCCCCTTTGATGCTATCAATGACCTTTGACTCAGCTTTCTGTATATGCAAAGATGTGCATTTGTACAGATTAATGAGAATATGTGTGACAGCCTTCTGTCCCCTGAGATAAAATGGCATTCATGCTTCTTCCTAACATGTTGCTTTGAGATTGTCAGTTCATACTCATTCCATGACATCCATCTTTGCACACTTGAGATGCCTTCCATGAGTGCAACAAGCCCATCTCATATTTCTCACTGTATTTTTTCTGAACTCAAAATGTCATTATTACCTTGAAGGCCAAATAAGTGAGGTCACTGAGTTCACAGCTGGAAAGCATCTTTTCCTCTACAGATGAGAATATTCCTATTTATATCTGCTTCGAAAGGATAACTGAACTTCACTGACAACCACTGCTGCCCAAACCCTTGCCTTTTCATTCTAGTACAATTAAGATGGTGGGAGTACAGTGAACAATGAAGTAAATAAAAATTTAACTTTTATAAAATATGTACTCTGCATTGACCTCTGGAAAGGGCGATGCTTGCTTTCTGATGGCATTGTGTGATAGTTACTAGCAAGTTTGGACATTGTGTCAGTAACTATACAATGTTTGCTGCAGAAAACATGAAGCACTTGTTTTTTTCCTTCCCGAAGTTTTGCTCAAACCGTTTCCTTGTTGTGAAAGTTGGAATGAACAAATATGCTGGAGGTGATTCCCATCTGCCTTCTATTTTTGTTCTTCCTGTTTTACTTTGATTTCTGTCTTTTTAATGGCACTAATGGACTGTAAGGAAGTGGTTTTGAATAGTCATTTTTGCTGGGCATTTTTAAAGCACACTTTCTATTGCATGTAGGACTTCCTTTAAAATGGGAAATGTAGTGTAATTATGAACTATTTGAGTGTAGCTTAGATACATGAGTCTTTTTTCTTTATTCACCAGTTATTTTGTTTTATAAAATGGATCTAAAGTTCATTTTCCTAAGTGCTAAAATTGTGTTTGTGTAGTGCTAAAGCTGTTTCATTAGGCTTTCAAGTTCTTTCAGAAGAAAATATGGAATGAAGTAAGAGCAGAAAAAGATGTTTGGCATTTGAAAGTTAGAAAACTTTAAAAATGCCTATTTCTAAGTTGAAACAGCTAAAAATCTTTTCTTCAATGCTGCTGATATTACATGCTCATCCAAGCCTGAAACATAAATATTACTATCGTTGTCATTATCCACTGAAATTCTACACTCTATGTAATTTTTATACTGAGATCTCCTTACATGCATGTGTGTGATGCAATTCCTTGTAGAAGAGAAAGGTAAATTAACAATTAGAAACAGAAACCTTGGAAAAGAGCTTTGCAATTAAGATATCAGAAGAAGCTGAGTGATAGAGAGCTTAAGTATGCCAAAGTCACATGAAACCTGTGTGAGGACAGCTTGTTGCAAGCACCACTGAGAGCTTCTTGACTCTCAGAGCCTCTACTGGCCCATCACTGCCATCAAAAACAACTGCTGCTCAGTGACAGAAGTCCCCATAGTCATGTTTGAAGGGGGCTTTAAATAGCAATTCAGTAGTTATCAGATATTTTGTGATAAGTGCAAATACTCACCCAGCACCGTGGATGACAAGGCCAATAAAGAAGATGACAAAGAGATGGTGGGTGTACCAAAATACTTCAAAATATGACCTCCGGATGGTTTTGGTGGATGAGGTGATGATGAGGATGAGGGCCAGTGTGATGACAACCCCAGTGATGCCAGCCAAGTACGTGAAAGCCACATAGAGGCCCCCAATGGGATTCTGTGAAACAATTGCACACCTTGATCTAAGGAAAGTGCTGCACCAAAGCAGAGCCAGTTGAACCATCTCTCACCAAACCCTTAACTTTTTTATCAGTCCTTAAGTCATCTGATACCAAAATCCCAGCTCATTTTTGTTGCACTGCACATTTACCTTTACTAAGGTAATTGGAAGTAGAGAGAATGCTTTTCCCATGAATTAACACACCAAACATTGTTTCTTACTCTGCAATGGCTCAGCAGGACTGCTTTGGGGAAGGTGAGTACATTTGCACAGCTCTGGTCTTCAGAGCTGGAATCCTACATCAATATTTCAAGAGCTAAATGAAAACTCTCCTTTCCTCTGGTGTTGCACAGCTGTGGGACTCATAACTCATGTAGAGTTTGGATGCTCAGTGCTCTTCTGAGAAGTAGGGAAGTACTTTCTTTTCTTTTTCCCCACTGACCAGAGCTTAAACCACCCAACTTAAAAACTTTTGCCTTTACTTTTGTGTACCTTTCTGAAAACCATGTCTAAGTCAGAACACTGCTTTACAGGGTATGTTTTTACATAATATTTTAGAATTACTTTGAAATCCTCAGATGGAAAAGTTTAAAGTACTACCAGGGCTTAGCAATGATATTACTGGCAAATATAGAAAAATGAATTCTACAAGGTTTTTCTTCAAGATGGCCCAAAGCCAGTCTGTGGACACCAGAAACAGGCACTCTGCTCAAATGGTTTTATATGATCACCTACACAAATGTAATGATGACCCTTGGGAGTCTGATGTCACTTACAGCAATGGTTTGTCTGAAGAAGTTGACATAGCTTTCCTTTGGTTTGTCTCCAAGGCCAGAAAGCACAGCTGCCAGGGTGCCTTTCTCTTCAACACGGGCTTGCACACTCCACTCCACGTTGAATAAGTGTGCAATGGTGTGAATTGCTAGGAGTGACAGGAAAGGAATAATCACTATTGACCACAAGTACTTGGCGTATTGAGGTAACATCTAAAACTTTGTCACATTTGTCAACTGCTGCTTAAGAGCTCTGCTGCTCTTGCCATCTTCACCACAATTGCAGATCACTGATGCATTTTTCTGTTAAAATTTTACCACCTGTATTTTACAGCTTTTGGGTGAGGAAGGGAAAGAAGCAAAGGGAAAATTTCAGTATATTTTTGTTTAACAAAGGTTTTCAGCAATTCAAGTAGTAGTACCCCAACATATGGGATACTGAAACATGGAATGGCTTAAGCTATTTGTCAGGATCATCTTCATCCACGACTTCTGTAAAAGAGTCAAGAACTGAATCTGGATTTATTTGGGGTCACATTTGTTAGTGCTGCTTTGTTCTGCAGTTTTGCTGATAATCATTAGTAATATTCTTGCTGCGTTGAATGCATCCAAAAACCTAAACCGGCTGAGATGTTCACATGAATTCCTTTTTATGTTTTTGTAGGGTAAAACTGTACAATGCTTTTCAAAATTTGAACCACCTCCTATAAGCAGGTATTTATTTATCTTCAAAACAGGTACAAGCTTTTTATATACTATTTAAAAAATAATTTTTATTATGTATTTCAGACATGACAAATAAGAAGTAAGTCTAAACAAGAATTAAATCCAGCGTATCCAGTTCTCAGGACATTGCTAAACACCCTTTATTAAAGTATCATAAATAGTACTGACAGTTCAAAATAAAGGTATTCTTTCTTATCTTTTGCTCTCTGACATTTGGCACATATCTGGAAACTGATTTAAGCCTTGGCACACACTGACTCCTTTAATGAAATCAGGTCTCTGCCCATATGTGTGAATGCCACCTGGATTCCACATAAAAGACACAAGAAAGCGATGAACAAAGAAACATTAGAGCACCAACCAGTGTGAAGGGCGATCATCCAGGCCACCATTTTGTGAAAGGTGAGGTTTCTGTCCAGCTGTCGCCTGATACGGGTAGAGCAGCACTTTGGGTAGAAAGAAAAAGGTGTTTGAAGACTATTTGTGTTGTCTGTGCACACTTTTTAAAGGCAGAGACAAAACCAGAAGCCCTGAGCACATTGGTGACATTGCTAGGAAAAAATTAGAATTCCAGAATATAGACAAAAATATTTCCCCCATCTTTCAGAAAACAGGAATTCCAGATTATGTTTTAACACATCCCCCTGAAACAAAGTATTTGATAAGGATAAAAAAAATAACATCCAGTGTAACAATGGAATACATCTTATGACAAAAATATTTCCTCCATCTTTCAGAAAACAGGAATTCCAGATTATGTTTTAACACATTCCCCTGAAACGAAGTATTTGATAAGGCGAAAAAAAAATAACATCCAGTGTAACAATGGTATACATCTTATCTGTTTTAAATTTACATTATAAACAAAATGAAGGATTACAGTCTGCCATGGCAGAGTGAATGCTTTGGTAGCACCAGGATCCTATTGTGGTTCACAATCTAGAAACAAGCTGAAAAGTTTGGGTGTAACTCTCTCAGGGAGCTCCCACCCCAAATTATATCACCTATGGCAGGGATATGAAGGCATTCCTTCCCCAAAATATTGAGTTTACTTCCCAGGCATTCACTTACAACTTGATTTTGGAGTTACCCAAAAAACCCCAGCAAAAATGTCTGCAGATACAAACCAAAGAAATTAATTCTCAAGAAAAACAAAGTAACATTTTCATTACTAATGATGATGGATTCCTAACAGACCCCACATGAACTCTGCTGCAGTCACTGGGAGTTCTCCTAAAACCTTAAGTCTCTGTAAAGCTGACATTTGCTGTCTCCACACAGTAGAAGGCATGACTGTCATGTGCTGTATGTTTGCATTGTGTTTGCTGACCGGATAAGGGAACAAAACACTATGCAAACTACCACAAGTATTTCCTCACAAGAGACAAACACTGGGGCTGCCAGAATCACTTCAGACAATAATAACAATCAGGAGAAATGTGGCCTTTTTGTATCACCTATATTGAGAAACAATTAAAAAAAATTGTAGAATAAACTGTAGCATAGTGAGGCAGTGCTTGACTCCCCTGCAAAAACCACTTGATCCAAGAAGTGAAAGCCAAGCAATGACAGAGGGCTCCAGCTGCCCTCAGTCATGTGGCTCATTAACAACAGTTAATACAGCAATGGGCATGCAAAACACAACACAGCTATCTTTGCTATTAAAAAGTTGTAAATTTATTACAAATAACTTCTCAACATGTGATTTCTGGGTGGCAGGATGGAGAGGGCAAGACTTTTCTGTACACTCCCTTTGAACGCTGTGTTTGAACAATTCTTTCTTCTTCTTGACCCCAATGACATTGCTGTTGGGAAGGTCAGTTCTTTTCCAATAAGTTATTTGACATTTAAATGATTTTTCTTATAGACCCTCACAGTAATTACCTGCAGAGCATAGCTAATTAGAGACAACAGCACAACAAGCATAAGCAGCTGTAGGATGGAGAAGGCAAGACTTTTCTGTACACTCCCTTTGAACGCTGTGTTTGAACAATTCTTTCTTCTTCTTGACCCCAATGACATTGCTGTTGGGAAGGTCACTATTCTTCCAATAAGTTATTTGACATTTAAATGATTTTTCTTATAGACCCTCACAGTAATTACCTGCAGAGCATAGCTAATTAGAGACAACAGCACAACAATCATAAGCAGCTGTCCCCCTGTGCTAAGGCCACCACAGCACTGCCAGTGGCTCAGTGGGTTGTGTGTGTTTTTGCTTAAGATCTAAAATTACATCTTTCCTGAGCTGTAGCTTTACTGCAAAAAAGCAACTGGAGCTAAACAAACACCAGCTGTCTAAGAGTCCTATTCTATGCCCCTCCCTGCCCTCCTTGCTCACCCTCAGAGCCCTTTGCTTCCTCATTCCCAGCTGTCAGCAGGAGAGTGAGCTGCCAGCAGGAATGGAACTGTATCTCCCTGCCTGGGACTCACTTTTAACTGGGTGTAGCCTGAGTGCCTCTGCCACAGTGCCCAAGGCAGGACTGACTCTGTGCTTTGAATCTGACCCCTACAAAGAGGGACAGATCTTGGTTAGAAAGATCCCAAGACCTTGGTTAGAAAAGTTGGGTTATGCATGACTGTATCTCCCTGCCTGGGACTCACTTTTAACTGGGTGTAGCCTGAGTGCCTCTGCCACAGTGCCTAAGGCAGGACTGACTCTGTACTTTGAATCTGTCCCGCACAAAGAGGGACAGATCTTGGTTAGAAAAGGTCCCAAGACCTTGGTTAGAAAAGCTGGGTTATGCATTCTAGGAGAGGAGCAGTTCAGGACAAGCAGCACAAAGTCCCAGCTGGAAAACAATTCTCAACACCCAGAATCAGGTTTTGGCCTTCCAGTAGTCTCCATCTGTATCCCCAGCTTTTTCACTGCTTAGAGCTCAGAAGACCTCTGCCCGGCTTGCTTTCATCCAAACTCAAAAATGCCTTATATGATCATGGGCTCATCCTTATTTTCCAGTTGCATTCATCCACAGCAACATTAATCCTTTCTACATTTATGTTCATTATTGACTTCTGCAGCCAGAAGAGTCAGCTCTGGATTTTGGCTGATACTTGCTGATCTGCCTGGGGAATAAAAACTTTAACCCTACAGCTTCATTTACTATCATTTCTCCTTTTACATGAATGGAGGGTATGGCTGTCTATTTTGTAGCATCTCAGGATCTGAAGGAGTATAGGAAAAGACTGGATGCCTAACATGTATTTCCAATTTTCTATTCCTAATATTATTCCTTAGAAAGGCTAGAGCACTGGCCTTGCTCATAAATGTAATTAAAGAGTTTAATGTGGCAGGCACATCTCATTTATTCAGCCACACTCATTGTGAGGATGCATGTACTAGATGGAAGTATAGCCTATTTTGTCTCTGGTTATTTTCTCATTGCTTCATATCCCACTTTCTTCCCTTAAGAAGGACTGTTGAAACACTGCATCTCTTTTATCACTTCCTCTTCTGCTCTGCCTTTTCAGCCCCTGCAGGCTGTCTCATTTGCATTAAGAAATTTATACCGGTTTAGAGATGAAAAACAACTTCTGGGAACTGGTTTTGTTGATCATGTTTATGTTAAAAGTGTCCAGAAAGAAAGGAAGAATCATTATAAATTTGGAAGGACAATAAATGAACTTGAGGAGAATATTGCTTTTTCACTGGACCATGGCCTGCATTGTCTGCATTATTTCTGCTGTAATAGCCAGAAATCAAGATTTTGGCAGTGTGATAGTGCCAGTACTATCATGGGAAGCCTCTCCAGCTGTCACTTAGGATAAGCTGTCCTTTTCTTAGTGTCAGCTCCTCAGTGCTGTGTATAACATTTGTATTTGGGAACTCAAAAAAGTCAAAAGTTGTGTGAACTATTTCATGTGAGATGGAAATGCAATTCAAACAGGATAGAATGTAATTTATGAGCCAGCTGAAAAAAGTCCCATTCTGAAAGTCTAAAAGGTAAATGTAAAAGACTACATTTACCTTAAGCACTGAGCATGCAAAGACAGACAGGGGCTGGTATTTCCCTCTCTAAGTGGGTGTAGCATCAGTGACAAACAGTGGATATGTGTGAGCACCAACAGCTTCTGCCAGCCAAAAGAAGGACTTTGCATCCAGGGCAGAACCGTGCCCAGGAGGCAGCTGAAAGGGGAGGACTCAAAGGAAACTAATTCAAAACTAAACTCTCAACAGAGCTCTAGGTACCCCATGGGCATTAGACCTCAGTCTTGCTCATAGCCAAACCCCAAGCTTATCTGCTTCTCATAAAAGGACATCCTCAAAATACAGTATATTTGGGGAACTTGGACACGGTTTCTTGGTATATTTGCAAGTCTGTTTAGGTATGAAAGATAATATCTTTCATGAATTTTGAAATTCTTTCCTCATCTTACCGCACTTGATCCTCTGAGGAAGGAGAGCAGGTTTCGACATACTGGCAGCAGAATCAGCATGCAATTGAAATTCAGGCAGGCTGCAGGGGCCCTTGCAAGAGCCAGAGCACGCTGTAATTAGAGAGATGCTGTTATTAATTGCATTATAAGACATTATCCAGGGCATGGACAGGCACAGATTTCATTCATGTATTATATCACAACTGGTAAAGGGTGTGAGATCTAGAGTTCACATTTACACCGTGAATATTCAAAGGAATCATGCTCTGGTCAAGGCAGAAACACATGTGCAGGCAGAACACACTCCTGCAGACAAACAGACACCTCCTGTTTTCAGTTTTGAATTAAAATGGTTGTATAAAAAGCTGCCTGTCACATTTGGCATTCAACAGGCAAAGACAGGTGCAAATCTAAGCCATTAGTAGAGTTTTGTGTCCCAAGGCTGTAAAGAGTCTGTGGTTTCAGTTGGTGGGGGTTATGGACAGCTTATAAGAGAAGTGGTATAAGTTCTCTGTCAGTAAAAGAGTCTAGGGAAATTTGTTACCTCAGCTTTTAGGAATCTGTTTCCTTAATGTTGGTCTTTACACCCTTAATTATTTAATATTTTTGAACTGTTTGAAATGAAGGAAAAATGACCATATTAATCAAAATGCAATGAAGGGAAGAAAAATAATATTCGCTCTCCTTGCATGGATTGAGACCCTTTTAGGTTTTAGATCAGAGCTGTTTGGGTTTACACTGAGCTCTGCTTATCCAAGCACAAGTCTCTGTGACTTCAAAGGCAACTGCATCATGATTGCAAAGCACAGGATTTGATCCACAGACCAGAAGCTGTGTGCAGGATGGGATTTCAGGCTTTGTAGAATTAAACCATGGCTTAGCAAACTTTCAGCAAAATGCTGTGCTCTGTAATCTGAAGCTTAGGCTGATTTTTTATGTCTGTGATGAGGGTTTTAAAATATGTGAACAAATTAATTTTCCCTGTCAATTGGTCATGACCTGTGGTAGCTTTGGAAGAAAGTTTGTAGTAGGACTCAATGCTGCATTAAGCAGTTGGATTACATGGAATAGCCCAGGATCCAGGATCACTTCACTACCTGATTACCACTCACATTCTTGATGAGTATATGAATGATGATTGCTTTTCAGAGCCAATATCTTTATAAACTATTCATGCTCTGAAAAATAATTGCAAGGAGAAATGACTGCACAACAGTTCAACGGCAATATTTTATTCATCTTTTGCTTAATAAAGTAGCCACAATTAATGCTTAATTTAATTACCAGGAGCATAATGTTAACTGAAAACATCTTTAGAATGGGATTTCTCTATTTTGTGTACCAGCTTTCTGTTCAGAAGCACTGAACATCTGCCTGCATTCAGTTATCTGCTTGCATGTGACTTCTACATGAGCCTGCTGCTCCAGCCACTAGATCTAGTTTTGATTCAGCTAAAACTATCAAAAACTGCTGTGTGCTCTATCTGTGCCAAAAGAATAATGTCTTGTACTTACGCCAAGGAGCACTCTGGTGTAGAAGAATTTTGGTGGGACATCATACACAAGATAGTACCACCAAAAGAGGAAGACATTTAAGCCCAGCCACACAAGCTGAAAGAGAATTAAACAGGAAGCTTACAGTTTGTTGTTAGAAATAATCCATCTGAATTTACACAGTTCAGATAACAATCAGTTACTTCCCTGTGCTCCTGTTTGTGCAGAGGGATGTTCTGCAGGGTATAAAGTTTTCAGCAAGGATGATAGAAATCTTTCTGGCCTAAACAGGCTCTGATTTGTAACCATAGGGTACAGGAATGGCAGTAGAACAAAACACAGCAATGTGCAGCTGAAATGTTTTCATAGGTCAAGGAGTTTGGGGTTGGTTGTATCAGGACTGTCATATTACAATTGTTTAATTCTGACTCCAGTTAAATCTCTAAATACCATCGGACTCTTCCAAGTATGTGAGAGGAAGACTTGGAAGATGTGACAAAGAAGCTTGAGATCTAAATTTAGATGGGCTAAATTACACATAGGGCTGAATTCAAGAAGAGGGTCTGAAGTCAGTCAGCAGGGAATATTCAAAACAGGCCCTTTGGTAGCATGTTGGCTACCCCAAACCAGGCTTCTTTGTAGCTGTACTGCAGAATTTTCTCACACTTACACATCCTGAGGAGCAGGTTTTTAGGGAAAGACAGCTCTTAGGCAGCTACAAGTCCATCTGGCAAAAAAGGTCATAACGAATCTGGATATTTGCCCTCCTGGAGCTGGTTGGCTGATTTCACATCCCATATTGAAACAGATCTGTATCACTGCACTCAGTCTAGGTGGTTTTACTAAGCGGTGCATGAAAACAAGAAAGTCTGAGAACTGGAAGAAAGCTCAGAAAAGGTGATATTACAGCTCCTCACCCCTCCTAACCCATATATTTTGCTAGTTCTTTGGCTCAAATAACACTGTAAAAAACTTGGGTTTATTTCAGATCCTGAAAATGTAAATAAATACTGGGAAATGAAGGGACTTCCATCAGAGTAAGGCAGTATATAGGAAATCCCCAAGTCCTCATTAAAACACCAAGCTCATCTCAGGATTAAATGCTTAGGACACTTATTGAAAGTGACAGTGGCACATTCTTGCAGCATGTTTCTGTTTTGTTGAGGTACAGATCAGTAGGAATTGCATCTGTCCTGTTTCTGTCAAGCACTGGACAACCCTGTGCCTGCTCAGTGTGCAGTAAAGATGTAGAAGCTAAAGCAGAACACTTGGGTAGGGTTTCCAGTGCTCTGTCCTTTCAGCTGCTTTCTTTATAAATATGTCTGTTAGTTTCCTTCCCTAACATCCTCACCTTGTTATAGCTTTGAGGTTCAAAAACCAAATTCCTTATTTGAGCAAAATAAAGGCCTCTTACTTAATAATTTTAATATTTCAGTTCTGGTGGGGGAAAAAAAAAGGCAAAAATAAAAGCCAGAATTCATCTCTTGGCAATTTCAACTTCCTCAAGTCACTGAAGGTGACAGCACACACAGTCACTCCCTTTCAAAGCACTGAAGTACCACAACTATGGGATTATGTTCCTAAATTACAAGGTAATATGCAAATACTGACTGCTCATTGCAGTAGAAATACTTCTTGGAATAAAGATGCTCACATTTCAGTCACCAAAAATATACAAATTCTATGCTTTCTTTTTCTTCCTCTCAATATTTGCATCTACTAACAAAAGGTACCCACAATATCTGAACTGCTCTTACATTTTGGTTTTGTATATGTTTTTAATACATATATGTATATGTGTATAATATATGTATAGAGGTATACCTCTAGCCCTTGTGTCACAAAAAACAGTAAAAAAAACCCACTAGAATACAAACTTAGTTTTCTCCAAGGAGGACTTCTCTGCTTACTCTTTAGCTCTTGTAAATGCAACTGGGATTTTCCATACTTTTAAATCTTGATAAGAATTAATTTAACCTACTTTCATAGCCCCTCTATGCAAACTGTAAACAAATTCAATTCAAATGGTAGTTGTCTTAATAAAGGATTCATGAATCTCTGCTCTCTTCTCCCTTGAATCTGACATTAATAAATATTTTATACCATCAAGACACCGTGCTTTCAGTTAGACCCACTTCTGTTCCAAAAAGTGCAAGAAAGGGTGATTGTTTTAATTGCTTTCTCTGTTGAAGTGCACGTAATTAAGTGACCTTTAAAGTTGTTTTGCTTAACTAAAGTATTTCTAACAAAGCAAAGTTAATACACAATCATTTCTCAGCTAACAATGAAACCTACAGCAACTGAAATACCAGAGAGCTCCTTAAAAATTATTCCCTTGAAGTATTTCCCTGCATTTGCTGCCCCAGTTTCAGCATAATCAGGTGCATCTTTCACTGGCACAGTGAGAACTGCTCAGCACAGCTTTCTGCAGAACTTTTCACTGGACACGAATCACAACAAAAGTTGTACTTACAACGACGAAGATGGACAGTCCTTCATTCTCCACCCAGTTCCCCATGGCTGCCTGAGATGTGTGTGCACAGCAGCCCCGCTCTCTCTGGGACAGCCTCTACGTCTTCTCTCATGAGGAAGTGAGAGCAAAAGGTTGCAGCACCCTGTTTCCTTTCTCATTCATTTGGGAAATAAGTTAACCATTTAATCATAACCCCAGTTCTCTTTCAAATACATTTCTATCATCTCTACATTTCATAACTCAAACACATATAAACTATTGAAATAGACTTTTTCATTGTGGTACAAAGGATAGAATAAATTATACAACCGGTCAGGTCTTCTGCTAAGAAATGTATTGCCACTTTATATAACTTTTAATGCTGAAGTGTAACATGGAAAGCACAGAAGAGTTACCTCTGCCCAGACCTCTCTCTTTTTAATCACCTCAGGATTGAGAGGCAGTTCATGCTGATCTTTGTTGATAAATAATTACTATTACTATTTCTCTCCCAGTAATTCAGTGTCCATGGAAACTTCAAAGTGTAATCTAACATTCCTCTTTGTCTGGTACATTCAAACCTCGCTAAATTCCTTCCAAAATTCCTTTCTCTTTTGGCCAAAACTGAGGACAAATGTCACTGGATAGGCTTTTTTTCGTGGTTTTGAGTCTTGCAGAATCCACTTTGATGGCCATCCCAAATGAATCACATAATTATAGAATTATAAGATGGTTGGGTTAGAATTAACTTGGAAGATCATCTATTTCCAAACCCCTGCCATGGGCAGGGAGGCCATCCACTAACTCATGCTGCTCAGGGCTCCAACCAACCTGACCTTGGATGCTTTCAGGGCTGGGGTAACACTTCCAGGGATGCTGGATGTCATCAGAGGGTCTGGTGCCGATATTTTTGTTTATGGAGGTAGCCTCTGGAAGTTAAACAGCTGGGGTGGCTAGGGAAGGAAAGGAGGGAGGCAGTTCTGATTAGTGGATGTCCATTCTTGTGGAAGACAAGCCTTCTCTCCCTGACCAGGAATGGCAGTGTTCTCACTGCCTTTTTCTTCTGCCTAGCTCAGGGTGAGTTACTTGTGCCTTCTCTGGGGTGAGCCAGTGCAGGTTTCCAGGATGCTCTGAGCTTCAGCAGCTTTACCTTGCCTGGAAGCTCCTCAGGCACCATAGCCCCTGAAAGATGGATTTATTGGTTCAGGAGGTTTCTGGCAGGCTACAAACCCAGAAGGGGCTGATCTTGGATCAGTCACAAGAGTTGCAAAGTCTGAGGTCCTTCTGACAGCCTGAACACAGACCATGAAACAGAGTATATTTCAGCTGCCTTCAGTCTAGCAATTATTAAATGCAGTGGCTGATTTCAATGCCTGAACTCAAAAGAAAGGGCAGAGGTGCTGGGCCCTTCCACAGCCGGTGAGTTCTGCTGCTCCCTGATGCCTGTGAGTTTTCTGTTACCCCTGAAAGTGACAAGCACATCAAACTTTGCTTCTTGCTGCAAGGGACAAATTTGAGTAGAAATGGTACCAAAACCACCCACTCATCACCCCTGATTTAATTCTGATTGTTTCACCTCCTAAATCAATGAAACATTTTTCCTATTACAAAAACTGTAATATGTATATGTTTTATACTTTGTAATTATTTGGAAAATGCATCCTGTACAAGAAAAAAAACCATGTTGTCAGCTGTGTATTAATTATGTAGGAATGTAAAACTGAAGTATGGAAAGAATTCAATGCTATCTCATTCTGTTTGAAAATTTGTTTTAAGCTACTTGATTACACAAAGTATTTTTCATCCTTCTTTGTGCTCAAAAGTTCAGTCAACACCGATCCTTTTTCAGCATGACAATATTGTAAAAGTATTCATGTCTCAGGGTTCTTGCTTTCCTCGCAGTAATTTTTTACCTCATTGCTTAGTAATTAATTTAGCTCCTCTCTTGCTCTGCACAATAATGGTCTGTGTATTGCTGCACAAATTTAATGGCAGGTGTTGGCAATCAGCCTAGGGGTTTCACACAAGGGACAATGAAAAATTGTGCAAGTAAAAACGCCCAAAGAGAGAATGATGTGAAGAAGAGTGAGAGATCCAGCTCCTCTTTCTCGTGCAGCAGGGGGAAAGCCAAGCAGAGACCTTGATTAACCTTTTCTATTTTGTAGCCTGAAGTCTTTATTTTGAATGCTGTGCAATCACTGTTTACCAACCTTCTCTTGATCCTACACCAAAGAGGAAGAAGCAAACAAGGGACTTGTCAAACTGTCTTCTCTGAAAAGACTCTTCACATGCAGCCTGAGGCTGTCACTCTGTGTGCTTGCCTTCACTCCAGGGAATGACATAGCCTGCAACTTCTGCTTTTTCTGTTTTGTTTACAAAATAAGGGATTCCAAGCTGAAAGAGCAGAAAAGGGGATAGACATGAGCCAGGGAAAAACATGTCAATGAGACTCCAATGACTGGCAGATCCTTCTAGGTCCTTGCTTTACACTAACTCTCAACGCAATTCCATGCTCCAGTACTTCCCCACTCTGCCCTTTGAAGTCATCATGAGAGACCCATGTGCTGTATTAAAAAAAATCCATGTCTGCTCCAGATGCTGCTTGCCACACCAGTCATGGCTTGAAGCCAAGCAGCACCACCACAAAACGTACCAGAATGGCTGCACACTGCTGTGTTATTGGAAGGAAGAGACACCACCAGCAGCATGTCCTAAGTACAGACAGAAATTTCATCTCAGCAAGCAGTCAGAGATGCAACAGCATAGCCTCCCATGCATAAAGACAGAGATAAAATCAAGCTGCCTTTGCATAGGACTGAGGGAGAGGGAGCCCAGGCATCCTTTGGGCAGGGTACCAGCTTTATCATCTGTTAATGCGGCTCTGGAACACAACCATCATCTGTCTGAGAGACTTCTCTTCCCAGGGCTGCAGATCCACTTCGTTTACACGTGCTGCTGACAGCCCAGGGTTACTCTCCTCTGCCTGGAGAGAGGGACTCCAGCAGCGATTTCCCGCTCAAGAAAACACCTCGAAAGCTGTGAGAAGAGGGACGGCAGTCTCTCCTGTGCCCGAATCACCCGGGTCGGGGTTTCAGCAGCCCCGCGGTGCCACCCGCTGGCAGCGCCGGCCGCGCCGCTCCCGGGGGAAGGAGCTGCAATCCTGCTCATCCATCCCGGACCTTCCCTCCCTATGCACCTGCCCTCGTGTCTCCTTTCCTGCCGCATCCCTGCTCAAAACCACTTTCCTGCTTTTCACTCTCTTTCAGCGCTGGGCTGTCAAATCCCATTTCTAATGAGCAGCTCCTGATCACAGTTTGGGAAAGGACTTCCAGAGCTCCTTAGCTCACTTCGTTCTTCCTAACAGGACCTGCTGCAGCTGTGTTACTCCTCACACACGTTTGCACCCCCATTCTACAACCAGAAATAAAGGAAGTGCCTCCCAGCCTGCTAGCTCATGCCCATGGTATCAGTGTAACTCCACATCCACAGAAGTATTCCAGCATCCCCCTTCACACCCAGGAACAGGCTCCAGGTGGGAACACCTCAGTGCCCAAACCCTGCAACACAGGGCAACACTACAGGTCTTCATAATGCTGCAGTTTGCCCTGTGAAATACAAAGGAGTGCTGTGATAATTCTTTTGCTGATTTTTCTCCCTCACAATCCTCAGTGTGGAGGTGTGGGGGTGACCCAGCTCTGTCAGCAGGTGACTGCCCACAACCAGACACCTGAAAGACACAGCCTTGGTTTTATGTTCATTTTCAGTAATATCAACAGAGGAAACACTGAGGAATGATGTCATATTTAATGGATGTGTCCACTGGATGTGATTTATTGTATCAAGATAACATGATACAATAAATTATGGTGCCAAGGATGAGGCTTTTGCTTTAAAATTATCCTTCAGCTAGATTGCTAGAAGAGAGTTCATCCTTGTGCCAAGATTCAGCATGAAGCCTATATGCTGCTAAATCATACCTAAATTGCCTGTTATTATAGAATTACACTGCTTCAGCCACACAATTCCTGGATTTATAAGTTTCCCTTCCTTCATTTGTCTTGATAAAGCTTTTTTACTTTGGGATTTTCCCTGAAAATTAGGACACTTGACTGAGACTGTCTCACAAACCCCTATCTGGTTTAAGTTACACTCAAGAGAAGTTTGGAAGCACCCATCCACCTCTTTGGGGAACTCAGTGAAGACACAAGTGTCTGATAATTTGTGTGCCCATAATTCAGGCTTGAACTGGGATTAATTTCTTCCAGGTTAGATTACTCACTGATGAATAGTTACTAAAGCCTCCTGTTGTAAAACTGTTTACAGCAGTTTATTCATATACAACCCCCTCCCTCCTGGCATTTTTAGCACTTCCAGAGAAATCACTATGAAAAACAAAATTTCAATGAGTGGCTTAAGGGCTACAATTTCCACAATACTATTTATTAATTTGATTTATTGTATTTATGACTTCTTAAGTTTTGATTATTTAATCATATTCTGCTATTTTCACTGCTCAGGCTTTCAGGGGAGCAGCAAAAGGCCGGAGGTACCTCATTACTTTCTCAGCTGGATTTAGAGATCCTTTCACACAGTCTTCTGCCAAAGCTCAAGGAGCTGTGTCCACCTTGATCAAAATCACATCTGCTGACTGCTAATTACAGTGACTTATGACACTTTATTTCGTATTAAGGGACACAATGTCATCTCACTGAGACTTTTGCTACCTGGCAGGGAGAGTCTGCCAAATCATACTCCAATCCTGTATCAGTACTTTTCTCCCCATACAAATACACTCCCACACATGCTAAAATTGCATTTAGTTTTCTATTACACTAGAACTTATTTTGAATAAGTGATTCACTTAAGACTATAAACAGCTTGTTGTTTTTAATTTTAGATCTCCTGCTAGTAAAACCTCCCTTTCCCCCTTTCCCTGGTGATTTTTTTTTCTTTTCTTGCTTGAAGAGACAACTGCTGTTGTGCCCTGGGAAGAACAGTGATGTATGGGTTATTAAGGTAGCAGCTTAAACACATAAGCCCTTGACTGCCAAAGGACACTGTAGGGCAAGTGATCAATGGTTAATGGCTAATGGATTCCTGCTTGCTGCCCCTGGGGGCTTCCATTGCATTTTGGGCCAATGGTAAATTATGGTGAAGAGTCAGCTGTCACTGGCTTCTGAGTTGTCTGATGAGTTAATGCTACAGCACTCTGCAGCCCTCCCTGAATTTGCCTTACCATCAATCCTCATGGCACAACAGCCACATCATTGCTGAGGCTCATAGTTCATGGCTAGGCAGAAATAATTTTTCACTTATTACATTCCTTGCCTATTCTCACCTGTCTCCTGTAAAGTTTTCCCTTTTCCTTTCCTCTGAACCTGAAGCTTGGTTCATTTCTGATCCTCACAGCCAAATCATGAACAAGGCTTAGCACAGCCAGTGTTCCGGATTTCTTCAATTATCTTTTATCTTTCTGTAAAGAAAAGAAAGGCTTAGCACAGCCAGTGTTCCGGATTTCTTCAATCAATTATCTTTTATGGCTTTTTCAGCACATCACATCTTTTCAGCTGATGAAGAAAACAGGATCAAAGCAGGAACCATCCATCTACCCAGTGGTTTAAAAAACTACCTGACATATTGCATGGTCCATTGTTTTTGTTCCCATGCATAAGGAAGGTGGAATTGTGTAAGCAAACTGCACATAAAATGTCAGTGGTAACATTTCTGCTCTGACCATTAGCACTTTGCCTATTTGTGTTCAGATGCAGAATCAGACTAATGTGTGTACAACAATACATATCAAACATAAAATACACATATAGTTACACATTTCTATATATATGTATTACATATATACAAATACATATCATTTACATATAATTACAACTGCTGGTGTTAAAGTAGTTGAACAAAAAAGATAGATAATGATTTTTTTTAGCATGATGCTATATCCTAGATCGGAATGGCCTTCACAGTTTTTGCCTCACTGTGCATGGATTCCTTTCTGGGGTTTTCACTATGCCTCTCCAAGAGCATCAGTGGAGAAATCTAGACTTACCCTCAATGCAACATGTTTGTGAGCTGCCACACACATTTCTATAGGTTTGCAGAGACATTAATTTTTTTCTTTTTCAGTAAATATTTATCTTTCTCCTGTTTGGTATTTTTTCTTCTTGTTGCTTAAAAAAATAAGAAGGGCAGGAAAGACCACAATAAACATGATGTTTAAACACCTCATTATTGTGCTTTTGTAGGGCTCTCGTACTTTCCTTGTAGTTCTAAAGTTGAAGCTCCTTCTTTTAGAAAACACCAATTCCCCTCTAATTTTTTTGTAATGACACCTGGATGCTTTTGAGCTACTGCACTGCTCACCATTATTAAAATATTTAAAATGGCAATGAA